GCGCGCTAGCTTCTTACGTATCGCACTCTGATGTAGTAACATTACCATCATCGCCTGTTTATATATCAGACCACCGACCAGTGACGCTCGAGGCTCACTTTCCCTTTTCATCATCAGCGAAACCTTGGCGTCTTGACATCCGCATTCTGCACGACGCGCCTACACGCTCCAGTTAATCTAGAAGCTTGCGGGCCTCTCTCTTGGGATGCGCTCCGGAGGTGTGGGACGCGCTCAAGACACAGTGGCGTTTACACTGCTCAGTAGCAGGGCGGGCCCTCAGACGCCGTACGTCCGAAGAACTAGCGGACACTGCCACAAAGCTGCGTATTGCTCTTCGGGTTGATCGACTAACTCCCTTGATGCGCGCATGGCAGCGAGAGTTAAGGGGTCGTTTTCAACGACTCATTGCAGCTTCGTCATTGACGGCGGCTGCTTGGCGTTGCAGACGTAATCCATGTGCTCACCCTGAGGTTCTACGCTTTGCGAAAAGCTCGCTTCTCAACCCGTCGAGTCGACTAGGAACTCTGGCGGCCAGATTCTTACACACTGCGTTGCCGCCGACACGTGATCAATCAATTTTCCTAGCTCACTTTGCCAAGATGGCTCGTACGACAATGTCATCACATCGCGGTACCACCGAGACAGCCACAATGTTAAGTAGGCTACCTCAAATTTCATCTGAAGTCGCTGAACAACTGTGCACAAGTCCGTCAGCTGACGAAGTGAAAGAGGCACTGTCTTCCATGAAGCGTGGCTCGGCCCCCGGGAAGATGGGTTGCCTGTTGAGTTTTATTTAACGTTTTGGGACGACATTGGTGCTCTTTTCACCTCTGTTATTTGCCGCTGTTTCGAGAACTTTGATTTTCCTGATAGCTTTCGCGATGGTCGAATTGTTTTAATACCTAAACATGACCCATGGTCAGTTCGCCCAGAGGAGTGGCGACCAATAACGCTCCTCAACGTTGATTATAAAACTTTCGCGGCAATTATCACTCGGCGTTTGAGAAGCTTGATGCCCTCCTTAATAGGTCATCATCAGGCGTGCTCTATTCCTGGAAGAGAAATCCACAGTCTTTCCTTTGTTACGCGCGATATAGTTGCGTACACGTTAACAAGATCAGCTCAGGGACTCTTGGTTTCACTTGACCAAGAAAAGGCATTCGATCGCCTCGAACATAGCTTTATATTTAGCGTAATGGAAGCATTTGGCTTCTCACAAAACTTCGTTGAGCTTCTCAGAAACGCATACCGAAATATACGCAGCACGTTATTTCTTGATGGTTTAGAGAGTGCGCCATTTCCGGTTACCCGTGGTGTTCGCCAGGGGTGTCCTCTATCCCCTGCGCTTTTTGTATTCAGCCTCGAACCACTCCTTCAATCGCTAATCGCTGACCCTTACGTTAGAGGCCTTCCTCTTCCAGGTAGTGGTACCGTGACAGTGACAGCATTTGCTGATGACATCACGTTGTATTTGAAGAATGAGGACAGTTTATCCCGTAGCCTACGACTTTTTACGACGTATGGCATGATTTCAGGTGCCGCTTTACATTTTTCCAAATGTCGATATTTATTCATTGGTTCCCCAGACGCATGTCTAAGTTCCTTTTTCGGTCTTCAGAAAAGTGACTCTATTCGTATTCTGGGGCTTGATTATACTTCCTACGGCATATCAGGCTCCTTGTGGAATTCAGTAGTCGAAGATGTAAAACGACACGTCCGGGAAGCACAGGAGTATGATTTACCGATGCTCGAAAGAAGGTATTTAGCACAGACGGTGTTTTGCGGCCGTGCATGGTACATATCTCACGTCTTACAGCCCCCATTACGAATCACCAGGTCGTTGCAATCCCTCATTGGCTCCTTTTTCTGGTCGGGTGGAACAGAGCTGGTTTGCCGAGCAGCTCTTGGGCAACCGAGAAACTGCGGTGGATTCGCATTCCCATCCGTCTCTGTTCGCTGCCGGCTGCTTGCCCTACGATTCTTACTTCGGTTGTTGCATGGTGATCAGTGCCCCGCGCGTGATCTTGTCTGTTATTTCTTGGGCACCAAACTACGCTATTTACTACCTGATGCACGGCTTAATTCTGCACCGCAAACACTTAATGTGCCTGCATTTTACTCAACGGCAGTAGCGTTTTATCGACACGCGCAGCAGGTTTGTCCCGATGTGGACATTCTTGAAAGCCGCATCGTAGATACAACGGCGGCTCTTCTGCTTCCTCTGGTTCCTCCAGCCCGTCTAGCACGATCGAGACATGTCTCGTGGAGCGCGATAACGGCATCGTTTTTGCCTGGTCACCTCCGTGACTTTATGTGGCGTCTTGGATGGGGAGTACTCCCAACACGGGACAGATTGGAGAGGTGGCGCATGGTCCCATCTTCCACTTGTCCTAACTGCCCGTTACAGGAGTCTAACCAGCATATGCTGAAGCAATGTGTCATCGCAAAGGTGTTTTGGAAGTCAGTTAACGCTAGTTTTCGTGGCCTAGGTGTTAATCGCTTTGTAACATCTGGTCGCTGCTCGCGTAGTCGCTTTGCACGCCTTCTAATAGCTGCGGGAGCCTTTTGTTTATGGCGTAATAGGTGCGAAGCTGTTGCGGCAGGTCATCGTCGTCGTGCTCTTTTTCCGATTCTGGAACGCCTCTACTGTGAACTCTTATCGTTTCTGTCGGAGGAATTGTTCTTCCTTGGGGAGGAAGAATTTCTGCGACAATGGTCGTGCCGCTTTCTGTCCGTAGTTGACAGACGCGTTCGATTAGTCTTCCACTTGGCCTGGTTCCTATAGCCAGGTCACCTGTTAATGTCTGATTGGTGCATGTAATCAGTATGTGTTTACTATTCTATGTGTTTGTGTATGTCCCATATTGGTGTGAGCTCTTCTATATATGCACTTCATTCTAAAGCTGTAAGTTATGTAACTTTTATGAATATTGATACCTGTTGTACATATTTTCTAACATCTTCACCAAGTCTTGTAAATTCTGCACATATATCATCATGTACATTGTCCATATTGTGATTAGTGCATTTATGTAGTGTATGTATAGTTATTAGTACTATGAACGATGGACATCCTACGGACTTGGACATTTGTTTAAATGTGTAATGTATGTTGTGCTTTGTCTTTTGTTTGTTATTGTGCCTGTTATACAGACGCTTGTCCCTTAGCTTTGTTGCGTCCCAGGAGAGAATAAACTTTTTCTAAACAAAAAAATTTAATCCTCTTTCGTCGAGTGTTTTATGTCGGAGATCCATGGTGACACAGGTGTGTGTTACATACATTGAGTCAAACCAAATACTCAGAACTGCTCCATTAAATATGAAGGCAGCAGTGAGCTTAACTAACGGGTATCTGCCACAGAAATCTGTGTGGCCTGTCCGAAAGCTGTCATTATCATAGATGCACATGTGCTACGAAAATCATGCGCGAGTCTTCGTCACCTCCACTGAAAAGGAACAACTCAGCCCAACAAATGGCGTGTGCGTTACCACAGTCACACCCCTATCGCGTGATACTTCGTGGTTATGATAAGTTGTGGTTATACTACCACCTCAAAGCTTAACAAAGGATCTTCAATTAGGAGCTAGGCAAGACGCATCTGAAAGGCTCACAAGATATATGAATGTGATAGCCTGTTGAAGAAAAGGATGCCAGCTTCGCTGTGTCATCAATGTCCGCGTTGCGGCGCTGGTTTAACACTTTTCAAAAGGCTTGGTATATACGTATAAATAGTGCTCCTATCTACGCTGCTTTGAAGTGCATACAGAAGCATTCGCCCCGTACTTGAGGTCACGTGATTGGTAGAAATGACACGATGATAAATCCCTCTCTTCAGCGTTTGTCATTACACTCTTTCAGTACAGAAGACATCTAAATTATGTCGAGTGACGTCCTCTGGTGCTGCGGTACTGTTTGTGATTCTATCTGCGTTACTCTTTATAACATCAGTAAACGTGGCGCGAAAATCAGTCATGTTTATCGATTCACAGTCCGCTGCAGCGTCGCTTGAAAGTGATGTAAAAACTTCTTTAAAAGCTTCGCTTTTATATGAGACCCTATGATAACAGTCAAAAGTAACAACAATGAACCACGTGATCGAATTTCAATAAATATAAAGCCACTGCAGTATTCCAGGACACACTGCAGCCGACACCACATCAAATAGGGCCCACAATAACGATGAAACAATTGCCCTCAAAATTTCACACATTGAAATCCATCTACTCCTGAGACAGATAGCCTGTAGCGTCATCAAAGACAACAGGTTCAGTAAAAAGTCGGAAAGTACGGACTCATATCTTATTGACCATTGCTTAAAACTTAGGATTCTATCAGAGCTGCGGTAAATTGGAAAATTTGAGATGTTAGTTGACTGCTTACGGCTTGGTACAGCGTTTACGCCACACTTCCTACACAGAATACAGCGTGCGTCTAGTACAAACTGTTCCTGCCACCACCTTGACGAAGGTGTACATCACCTGCTTCTGGAGTGCCCAAAATATGGAACAAAAAAATGTATTACGAGCAAGTTTGCAACCTTTATATAGGGGGTCCTTCAGAGTGAAAAAAATACTAGGCCCATGGTCAACTGCAGGTCTTCAGAAATAAGCAGCTGTCGCCTTCAAGAAGTTTCTTGAAGATTGAAATATTTTATAGCAACATTCATCTACTGTATGGAATGCCGCCTTTTCCTTCATACCATAGAAAATGTGTAATATTGAGATAGTATGTCTGATTTGTGTAATCATTTGTCTATGTGCGAATTTACCTTGTCTGTGTGGAACTTTGTACATATGAACCTATTAGACGTATCTGAACTGTCATGTGATGTTTCACTGTCCTGTATTTTCACATAGTTTTACTGTCTTGCATTTATGCCCTTATTGTTTTTTCTTACGACATATTTTGTCTGCTAAGTGAGAAGTAGTAGCCGGTGCTACCGTTATGGCACCAACGGTCTTCTATTTGATCATTTAAATAATGAAAAAAAAATACGTACCTGCAGAAATCTTCCCGGTCAGCGTCCGTTTCCGGTACCTTGTTTCCCGTGGCGAACAAAAACAGGCCAGCGGCGCAGTTGTCCAAAGAACGGATGTAGCACTTGTCACACGAGGGGGGTAATGCCGTGCACTTGGCGACGAGCGCTGCATACGCCCAATCAAAGAACGAAAGTAGCAAAAAATTAATGCAACAAGCTGAGCTATAGTTGCTAATGTATTGTAGAATAGCGCGTAAAAAAACATCTATACGGAGCAAGCGCCCGACGTGTTGTCTCTTGGTGTGTTCACATGTTTGTTTTTTTTTGTTTTTCGCGCTCTTTTACATTGTAAAGGAAAGTTATGTAAGCCCTGCACTAATGGTGTCAAGTCTTGTGGAAGTGTGGAGGTGGGCAGCCTTCTTTTTTTTTTCAATTTGGTTTGCTCTTTCTTTCTTTTTCACTTCTCCAGCTTTCTGTCTTTAGTTCACTATTTCTTTATATTCACTCTTACTTTAATGCCTATTCTTTTCTCTTTATTTCTCTCCTTTTTTATTTCTCGCTTGACTAGTTTTTTTTTGCCATTTTTATATGAACTTCTGCCTGCTTTACGCCAAGTGGCGACAGTGCATTACAGTCTGGGCCCACAAAGTGCTTCCTATTTAGCAAGAGAGCATGCAAGGAGACCAACTATATAGGTGTCCCGCGGCTCGCCCGAACTGAGGTTTATGCAATGGTATGACCCACTGAATAGTGTCGTCTTCTCGCGGAGACATTTGTGTAGCACTACTTCTTTAATATACGTCTTCGATTGTGACGTGCTAATTTGCCTTATATATCACAGGTTTAAGTTTTCATTTAATTTACTGTTTTTTTACAAGAAAGTTTCTGTGATATCTTAAATGATGGCGACATATTTTTTCTTGATATACAAACAACAACCAAGCGCAGGGTGCTATGAAAATTTAGTGGGATTGTCGTCGAACGCCGGGATTGTTGTCGTCGAGCCCCCCAACCAGAACCTTGGCTCCATCAATATTTTTTTATTTAAGAACTCATCTTCCAAACCGCTTCGAGTGGGTCATTTTATGGTACTTGTTAATGCGAACTTGCACGCATACGTATATTTTGCATGCCTTCTATCCTATAGGCAAGGAGTAGGTAGGCACTGCAGGTCATCTCAACGAGGAGAGGCAGAGCACGCCGACTAAGGAATACAATACCGTTCAAACAAACACAGCAAGAAATGCCATGGGACATTTACAAACAACTTAAAGCAAAAGTCGGTACGCGCAGCCAGATAGTTCGCATAACATATGCATTGGTACATCACAGCGTACGGAATTTTTCAAAACAAAAATGTACCATCAAAAATCATCTACGATAGGAAAAGGTGGGAAAATATGAGGAAAAAAATGGCAGGGAGGTTAACCAGTCTATAGGTAGCCGGTTTGCTACCCTGCGCATGGGAGGGGGATGGGGAGAAGAAAAAATAGAGAGGAGAGAGAGAAGAGAAATAGACACAGCACATTAAGCAGCACACGCGCGCACACTCAGTCATAGTCCAGTCTTGTCTTTCACGGTGTGTGACATTGCTGTGCTGTTACAGCCGCTTGTTCAAGCCCATGTTGCGTAGGAATTTCAACAGTGCTTTGTTGTCGGTGCACGCAAGAACGGACGCCAGTGACTGTTTCTGGATTTCATAAAATGGACAGATGCACATGATGTGGTGTAGCGTCTGTCCCTAGCAAGTGGATAGTCACCAGCAATTGCAATTGTTGCCTTGTTGACGTACATCTGGGCAGATTAAGGCACACTCTCAGTGCTTGGGCTTCTACTGCCTGTAGAACACGAACATTGGTCTTGCAGGTATTGCTTAGCACGGGCAAGCTATATCTCAGGAAACCGAGAAACAGGGCTCGGTGAAGTTCCATAATTGCGCCTACTGACATCCCCCACGTCTTTCCTGCCGGGAACTTGAACAATCAGGAAATAGTGGTCAGGCGCTTCTTCATAAAGGCCACATGCGGACTCCAACAGAGGTCCCTATCACTAATGATGCCTAGAAACCGGTTTGCTTCTGGCGCAAGAAATTGGTCGCCCACTGATTGAGATGACGTAAGTGGTCCTTTCTATGCGAGTGAAGGCCTCCAGCATGCTTTTTTCTGGTGATATACGATAGGGATGTGCATTATACATTGCTAGTTTTTTAAAGTAGCACAATTTACGCTGAGGGTAACATTTGAGCAACGCTGATTGCTTTTCAAGTGATTCTGAGGTGTTTTCTTGACAATGCGGAAATAGCCAAGAATCGGCAGATAGGTAAATTGCACCGTGGACTTCCCTGCGCCCTGCTACCCTGCACTTCCCCAGTACAAGGTAGCAAACTGGAACTTATTTTCTTATTAACCTTCCAGCCTTCCTCTCTCTCTCTCTCTCTCTCTCTCTCTCTCTCTCTCTGTATCCATTGAGTAAAGCATCTTAAAATCTGCAAATATTCCATTTAGGTTTCAAGGAACGCAAACAACAAGGACAATGAACGCAATAGTATGGGGATTATTTTTTTCGGAGAGCTCCAACTTCACCAGCAATATTGTATTGAGTGCACTGCAGCTTCAGCATCATCTAGTGAAATGTTTTTAAACGGTATCGAACAAAACATGTATAATATAATGTAGTGACAACAAAGAAAACAGAAGCTGCTGAAGACCCTTTCTCTAATAATTTTTTTTGTTGAGATTTATTGTCCTAAAACCAAGATATTGTTATGAGAGATGCCGCAACGGAGGGCTTTCGTATTTCCGACCACCTGGGTTCTTCCAGTAGGCACCTAAATCTGAAAAAAAGGGCCCCAAACATCTTCGCTTCTGCTGAAAGGTCTTGTTTTTTTTTTTTCAATTTCTTTTAAAGAAGATTTGATTTGACACAATGCAATTAACTAAGTGTAATATACAAACTTACACAAAAACTTATTTTGGTAATCAGGCGTCCGGAATAATAGTGCGATTCATACCGATATTCTGGTGGTTACAGCTTTGTATTGAAAAAAAGTGTGTTCCACGCTCGCCATCTTAGCTGCCAGTGGCGCTGACTAACGCTCCCTCACATATATGCACATCATTAATTGATGAAGTCTACGAGAGGAGGACCACTTCTGTAGATGTAGATGCAGCGCCTCATTCGGAAGTTGCAGTTTTGGTCAATGACGGCTGTGAGTTGTAATGTCAAAAACTTTAATCTCTTCACCTTCATATGAGTCCTTTTAAAGTGCCTCATTCGAAGGTTGCAAGTTTGGTATATGACGGCTACAAGTTGTGCTTCCACAATTTTATTTTATTCGCCTTCATATGAGACCTTGTCAAGTAAAGGAGTATTTTCAATGCATTTATACGGTCTCATATGTAAATGAATAAACTAAAGTTTTTTTTATTTTTTTTAAACACAAGCAATAGCCGCCATGCGCCAAACTTGCAGTTTCCGAATGAGGCGCTGCATCTACTGAGCTACAGAGGTAGTCGTCCTCCCGTAGACTTCATCGAGAATATATGAGGCATATAAGTCTGGGAGTGTTAGTCAGCGCCTCTAATAGCTAGGAAGGCGAGCGTGGAACATAGTTTATTTTTATATAAGAGTGGGACACCAAAACGTTGTTGTGAATTGCGCTATTATTCCTGACGCATTATTACGGAAATTGGTTTTTGTGTAAGTTTATAGGTTACATCTCGTTAATTTCATTATGTGCCACAAAATCAGTGATAAAAGGTAGACTATATACATGCGAAAATATTATCAGCTACTTACACTAATGAAACTCAACCACTTTTAGTTACGCTGTCGGTCAAGGAAAATTCGATAGCATTCTGTGTGGTCTATAAAAACCGTTCTTGGCACCACCATTCGGAAACAAGCAACGATGGAGATGTAGTTTCAAGAAATACGATAAAGCTCTGAATTTCCCTAGCAGACCAGTACTAACTAAAGATTTCTAGTGTCATGTGAGGTCACTCTAGTATTCTGTTATATTAAAGCTTTCGTATTAGACTGACGCTGTTTATGCAAAACGCACAGAGTAAATGGCACTAGCGTGCCTTCTAACAAGGTGTTTTGGGCCATCTTAGCGAGGTCTTGCTTGATTACACTCTATTCTGACTCCCATCATGGCAGGCATGTGATTCTTTTTTTTTTTGTCGCAATGCGGTTCCTGCTAAAAAACTCTCGAACTGTTTTCCAAGCACAACTTCACTGTCTCCACGTCTCCGCTGTGGCACATTGGCTACAATGCTCGGTTGTTCGCTCAGAGGGTGCGTGTTTTATACCGGCCATGTAGGCAGCATTTTCAAGAGAATATTTAGAGACACTTAAAAGAAGGATGCTTACCAATGAGTAGCAAGCTGCGGTTCATAGCTCGACGCTCGGCCATTTTCGATTCCCACGAGAACGGCAAATGTGATTCTTCGACACGAATTCTTCTCTGAACGGTGAACTGGCCTCGACGTATCGTCAGGATCGACTACAGGTGCGTTTATATATATGGTCACCAAAGGCGGACAAATAAAAAGCCAGCCAAGAAAGTCGGTAACGTGGAAGCTCTCACTTTTCCAATGGACGTGTAATGAGCTTCGCCTTACGCCGCTCCGTGCGATTCACGGAAAGGCAGATATTATTTCATTTTTATTTATTTCCTGTACCTCAGTTTCGCTTTCTATTTCACGCGGGCGGGCTTTCAACGGTGTAGCACGGGACGCGCTCGCTTGCTGAAAGTGAAAAGCACACGCACCATTCTCCTCCTGTTCGTGCAACTTCTGTCATCTCGACTCAAGTTTCGTGGAACGGCATGGCTGCGCTGTTTCCAAGAGGAGCTCAAAACGGTATGGCATCTAGAGCCTGCAGAATACAAAATAGAACAAAAAAAGCAATACATACGGCGACGGCGAAAAAACGCTGCTTTCAACGTTTGTATTTTGGAATGATAGTTAACCATGCCAAGCTGGCTAGGCTGTGAGGAAATCTCGCTTACATGAAGCGCGGGCGAACTAATCCCGAGGCTGCGCTAGGTACAGTTGTTGAGACCAAGTGATTGTTGAGATCAAGTCGTTGAGAACAAGCAGTCGTTGAGACCAAGTGACAGCCTTCAAGTGCTTCGGCAAAACTATCGCTTCCGACGTCGTTTTCAACGCCGTGAGATTGTGTAAACAATTCAGTGGTCGACTGAAAATATTGCTGTTTATTTTCTTGTTTCCGAAATGCCGGCAGGAGATCGCAATAGAATGGGAGTATTATAACGTTGTGATTACTAGCGCTCCAACCTCATCACAACGAGAACAAAGAGTAGGCAACAAAAAGAGGCACATTTAAAAAATGTATTCTTTCAAGTGGTTCCACAAGTGCGATTAAAAACACTGCGAAAAAAATTATTGTTGAAGAGCAAGAATGGTTGCGCGAACGAGGGCATTAGTGGCGAACATTGCAGAAACACACGCAATGATTGCGAATTGTACCTTCACGTGTACCAAAAAATTTTAAAAAATGATTCTTAAGGGGAATATCATTTCCTCACATTGCTTTGTAACATGAAAAAATAACTTCTTGATTGATATGTAGGGTTTAACGTCCCAAAACAATATATGATTATGAGATACGCTGTAGTGGAGGGCTTCGGAAATTTTGACCACCTGGAGTTCCTTAACGTTCACGCAAATCTGAGCACATGGGCCTACAACATTTCCGCCTCCATCGGAAATGCAGCCGCCACAGTCGGGATTTGATCCCGCGACCTGCGGGTCAGCAGCCGAGTACCTTAGCCACTAGACCACCGTGGCGGGGCTGAAGCCGAGTATCTTAGGCGCTAGACCACCGCGGCGGGGCAAAGAAAAAAATATAACTTATAAAGTTGAAGTATAATTAGGCCTAGCAAATTGCGTGTTGCGCGAGGTGCTCAGAGCCGTTCACTATTATCGGCACACCAGCCGCCAAAGTTGATATCTGCTGTTCACCCTTGGATCAACTGTAAACCATACACTGGCTGACGAGGGCGCAAATTTAAATTGACGATGAGCAGTTGTGTAACCGCTGTGAAACCTGCTCAAGGAATCGTGTTTGAAAACGTCGATGCAGGCAGCACAAAGATTACATTGCTAGTTTATCTTTGTGCCTAATAGTGTCACTATTACACGAGTGCTTTCGGAGCAGTTGCTTGTAAAAATAATTTCCAGACATTCTTGGTGAGCGGCATGAGCGAAAAGAGTTAGAGATGCAATTTTTTTTCACAGTATGTTTTGTAACATCACTCGTACTAACCGGTATCTTTTCTTGTCCAATCTTGGTTACATCTCACCCCGTCCTGATCAACAAGATCAAGAGGATAATATGTAGGACGAACAACTTCAGGATGGTGTTTTTTTTTTTTTTCAGAACAATTCACGAGTGGGACAAACTGCCTGATGACATTATCTCTGTTGCCTCGTCGCGCTGGTCTAGTGGCTAAGGTATTCGGCTGCTGACCTGCAGGTCGCGGGTTTGAATCCCGGCTGCGGCGGCTGCATTTTCGATGGAGGCGAAAATGTTGTAGGCCCGTGTGCTCAGACTTGGGCGCATGTTAAAAAACCCCAAGTGGTCGAAATTTCCGGAGCCCTCCACTACGGCGTCTCTCCTACTCATATGATGGTTTTGAGACGTTAAACCCCACAAATCAATCAATAAACATTGTCTCTGTTATCTCCCCTGAAGTGTCTGCTTCACCTTTGCAGGATTTGCATTGTGAATAGTCCTCGTGATTTTCTGTGGGATATTTGCTTGTGAGTTTTTGTTCTAAATATGTCGTGCTGTTTCGCATTTCTTTTGTGCATTTGGATACTTACTGCTGTACAGTTGTTCAACTACAAGCTTTTGATTGGACTTGTCAGTGTTATCCTCTCCTTCCCTCTTCCCCATGCAATGCCGGAAAGCGCTCTGGCCATTGTAATAAAAACTTGCAAAGCAAAATTATTGGCAGGCTTTATCGCGGATGCCGCTTCTGAATATTGAAACCCAAATGTTTGTTTGTAGCAAAAAAAAAAGTGGAAATTCAAAGGGGCTCATTTTCATTTGTTAGACAGGATATTAATGATAACTAACATAGAATTATACCAAGAAAGGTATAGATCTTAATAGTACTAATTGTAATGTAAACATGACAATTACTGCTTATAGCATCCCCTACACTTTCCATAGCATCATTGTCTGTTAATTGTCATTTCTTGCAGGAACAAATTTTCGTAACTCCTCCATATTTTGCCGATTATTTTTACCCCATACATTCCTACAATTGAACCACTTTTCTGAAGACATCGTAACTACTAACAATCACCAAATTCGTAATCAGATTAACATTGTGTTATTGAAGCTTGCACATTATGTTACAATTGGTTATCACTTACATTTTGATCATACTTGTACTTACGAAATAAAAAGTCATAATGTTGGAAATAGGAAACGTTCCCGTTGTTTCTGTTCCATTGTTGCAATCGCTACCTTTTCGGACTGCCAATGAAAACCACTATTGCACTTAGTAAAAAAAAACAATTAATGGTTGAGAAGGTCTCATATGCACGCAATTTTGGCTGCTGACAGCTGAGGCTCATCAACGTATTTTCAGTGTGACGGAATAGTCGCAAGTTCTAAGGGTAAAAAACTATATCTCGCAGACTTGTTGGCACACGCATTCTAATGCATGTGTCATACATGCAGTATTTTCTAAAAGAATGGAACAACACTGATAAACCTCTCACCCATTTCTTGCGCGTGCTGTGTCCGAGAACGTGGGTTTTTCCTGGTGCGTTTTCGGCTTTTTTGTCAGGCTAAGAAACGATCATCCTGAAGCCGAGCCTCAGGCCTTACAAATGGCGTACGAGGGGCGTAAACACGTAGCTTTCATATGGCTGGCGGTGGCCAAAGTCTAGCCGTGCAGTTGAGAGCACGTGTTGTACTTGCAAAACATATAATACCTTGCCTGGGAGACTTAGTTTCAAGGAACCCGTACGCGTTCCTAAACAAAGAGTCACTATGATGGCGCTTACTTGGTTGATGGACACCTTCTCTACAGCTACGTAGAGCTTGGCACGCTTTTGATTCCAGCGTTTGAAAGGTGTGTGTCTGCGTTAGTCTAAGGTCACAGGCAGCATGCCATCTTCACACGTCCAAAGAGTGGGGTTACTTAAACTTCCCCAATAGTTTCAACATTCTGACCAAAACTATATACGATTAAACTATGGGTAACAATTTGTGGGAGCGCGTGAACGAATGACATTTGGCTCACTGGTGGTGTAGTTGCTCTCCTCTAGTTTGACCTTTGTTATATCTATGTCTACAGTTGTCTTCACCAGGATTTCCATTAGTGGCCACCCTTCAACAAATTGGATTTTTTAAGACTTCGTCTGGCAGAAAAGAAATTAGAAAACAAATACCGCAGGCCTCAATTGGCTGCTCTTTCTTCAGTGCCCTTTGCAGAACATCTCAGTAAAACACTGCGCTCTAGCAGCCAATAAAAACACGGTGGTGCTGGAAACTTATGTTGCAAAGGGACCCTATACAGGCACCACGAATGGCAAGGAACAGCGTTAGCCTGTGTAACATAACGGGGCATAAATTTACACTCCCAAGCAGTCATCACACAATGCCAATAGCACAACCTGAGTGTGGCCTCCTACTTACTCCGAAGTGCGCAGACGTGCTTCATTGTCATTGCCTACAAGTACCATCTAAAGTGGACATAATACTTTACAAACGTGTAGTGGGTACCTAGGGCATCTCCGGAAAGGCAAACAATGACGTATTTGTTGCTGTCCTACTTCACGAAAAATATTATTTACGGCTTCGAATTTGATGCCTTGCGGAAACCCAAAACTTCTGGCCTTGCCATAACACGAAGTTGCACGGACATTTAGCATCAGGCGAAATCGTAAGCGTCCACGATTGTTTTCGTAGATAAAACACACAGCAATCGAGCTTTTCTGTCTTGTCAGACGCGTGTGTCCGAGCTCCCACCGCCAGTAGGTTGGTGCTTGCGCAACAAGGCAGCATCGCAACGCGAGCGAGTGCTTGCAAATACGGAGTGGCAAAGTTCCGTGCGTGTTGGTGAACACATGGCTAGCACACCACTAACTTTGCCCACCATTTATGGTGATGTTACGCAAATTTTTCTAATAATGGTATGCAGTGCGTGTTCTCGTGTGCACCTGTCAAAAAAAAAACAAAAGAGAGATTCGCTATAGAATGAAGCTGAACTGTGCACCTTGAGTCAGGGGAGACTATGTGCAGCTGTACTGAATTATATCAACTGCACTACTAAAATGTGGTCGGTTGCTTAAAGGGCAATCTGCTTTCACTTTTGATATTTCAGACTTATTAACAGCTTTGGACCAAAAATACTCCATTTGACAAGCTTTCTATCAATACGTAAAAGCTATATACGGGAACACTAAATTTATAATAAAATATTTTTTTCAATTCACTTGTGGCTTGAAAATC